GATTTCAAAGTCCTTGCAATTAGTTCCAGTCCTCGGCTTCGCCTCGGACTGGAACTAATTGCGCGGACTTGAAATCCCGTCCTGTCCTCATTGTCGGATTTGAAATATTACATCAAAAATACCCAGGTAAGTTAGAGTTTGCAGATTTAGGTGGTAGTAGGTGGAACCTTAATCTTATTGAGAAGATCGAGACGATTTACCCCAGTCCATGGGACCCATTTGTATTATTAAAAGGAAAAGGCCTAAGAAACCTAGCTCGAATTAACCGCAGCATAGAGGCATTCGTGTACTGCATCTTAGGAGCGCAGGTAAATACCCGCAGCCCCATTGTAGGATCCCAAGGTGCTTCACAGGAAACGCAACAGGAATTCCTAACTTTATTTGAGTCCGCAATAATAGAAAATGACATATCCAAATCGGTGCAAAGATATCAATTAGCGGTGCAGCAATCTAAAGTGCGGTTAGATTACGCCTTGAGTCCTGGTTCTTGGTTAATGCCAAGTAATTTGGTCATCAACACTAATTCCGTTGTGGGTTATAACAACAAACTTCAGCGAGCAACCGAAGACATGAAGTTTGGGGTGAATGACGTGAACTCTGACATGACCAAGGGCATTCCTCACTTCGTAGAGAAGCCAAAGAAGGTACACGCAGAAAAACCAATTCCCAAGCCCACAGCCCAAAAGAAGGTCCATGTTATGCCACCTGAGGAATATGACCATAACTTACTAAAAGCCGGCTTAACAGCTGCAAGTATTGGTCTAAGTTATTATATATGGCGATGAACAACCCCTACGTAGCTGGAGTAGATTGTGTCTATACGACTTACACAGGGAAGAAGCTGATAATATGCAGTATTTGCATTGGCGCGAGTAGTCATGCAAACGTAGGATTTCGTTTCTGCGACGACAATGGAGTATTACAGCCAATGCGTGCGAAGACAAACAACAGAGAGCCTAAGCATTTCTCCGCAGAGCCACCAACGAATAGCGCCGAGAATCTTACGACTTGGACTTTTCACATGGTTGCTGATTGCCATGGGAAGGTAAAGCTACAAATACGTATAGATGAAAGCGGAAGTGTTTGCATAAATAGCGCAGAGGATCAAAGGAATAAGGATTATAACCACATGACCATAAGCACTCTTACGGTGCTTAGCCTCTAGAAGGTAACTTTGTTACCTGGAATATATGAATCCACATTGGAAGGAAACTCGTTACGTTTATTTATTAGAGGATAAAGCATATGGAGCCCCCGTTTGGTCTGATATTGGGATGTGGGTCGAAGTTGGAGGCCTCGCGCTAATCGTTTGTAGCATTAACATTACTGCGGCGCGGGCTGGAGTCATAGGGTTTAGGTTGGTTGACGAGAACGATAATCCTCTTGTTCCTTATAGGGTATCGACTAATAATCGGAGACCTYCCCATTTCACGGTGCAGCCATATCCATTTAGTGGCGAGGCGTTTTATACGGCTACGTTTCACATTGTGGCTAATTGCAGTATGCTAAGTTACAAGTTTACCCCGATAAAGAAACTAAAAATGGAAATGCCATGGTTGGTATAAATAGTACGCACACGAGCCCCAGCGAAAACGATGATGAAGCCTGGAATCATAAGCTTATTAGCACCATGAGTGTGTTACCGCTAGTTCCGCATTATCAAGGCGGCGCGAATACTGTCTTTACTTATCCCAAGTCGAGAACACCCGGATGCCTGACGACGATAAGCCCGACATAATACACAAGGATAAGATTAACCCTTCATCTTCTTCAGGAGGACCACCCC